ACCTAATATCAACCTTGAAGGCTGTCTGTGCTCACCACAGCCAGAAGTTTGTTTCCAATGTCCAAGTTCAACCTTAAGAAAGACATCAGTGAGACACACGTTGGCACTTCCTTTGCTCATAGCAAACTCTTTATCCCTTGGAAGGAAGCTGAGAGTTGAATTGCCCTTGTCACTGTGACCTTGGAGACTCTGAATTGGGGCAGCAACATGGTCTGAATCTTGAAATGTTTCTCTTCCTCCAGCGTTTTTCATCCTTTATGCTTCATATAAACATCCACATATGTAACTTCACTATTAGGTGTGTCTATGTCTAAGGAGAATTGAAAGAGACTGAGAAAGCACGTTTACACACCCCATATTGAGTTTGCTTGGTTTTCATCTGCTAATTCCCTCCACGCATGGCTGTTTTCACAACGGGTGATATCACCCAGCAGCTGTCTGGAACTAGGAACTAAAATGCTTGTAGAATTGCAGTCTCTTGTCTTACCTACTTAAATCTGTCTCTCTTCCAAAATACCAAAACAATGAAAGAATGGTTGGCTTGCTTCGGGGAGAAATTATTCCTGTAACTTTAAATAAATTGTTTTACAACTTATTCTTCTAATGTTTTGTTGTAATTGTCCCTAATTCTAAATTTGCTTTCAAGAATCATTAACTGTGATTATGTCAACATGAGCTCTTATATTTGGTATTTGGTGAAAAAGGAATATTGAGTTTGTAAAAATCAACTTCCATCTACAATTTGTGAGTGGGAAAGGCGTGGAAGGATTATGCATTACCTGCCCAGTGTGCCTGGGTTGACCTGAATGAGAACTTAACACAATGAGCAGAGACTTCTATGTCTCCTTCTACATAACTAATCTGGTTACTTACTGATGTTCCTGTTACAGGGATACAGTTTGTGTGCCCCGTGCTTCAAAAGAAAGGCCAATATTCAATAGATCAGAGGTTTGGAGCAAGGAAAGGTTTATTGATCAAGAAGGCCTAATTTGAGAAGCTGGGAGAACTAATTCTCAAGGTGATACCATTATAATTAGCTAATCCTATATAATAAAAGGGTAATATGCAAATCGACCAAGCATTGGAATGACCAGTCACTATAACACACACTGACCACTGGGGGGCAGATTCTCAATGCCCTGGTGGGAGCGGGCCTACGCCATTAGTCGGACATCCCCCGAGGGCTCCTGGACTGCGAAAGGGCTCAGGCCAGACTGAGGGAACCTTCTCTCCCCCAGTGCATAACTAGAGGTCATGCACTGGGCCTCTAGTTATTAATAATAGGAAAGGAGCAAAGGGAAGACCAGATATTATAGGCATGTTCCCTGCCAAATAGTGGGGGGTGGGGACTGGACAAAGAGAAGATAGACATGCCCAGTAAGGTTGGGATGACTAGGGAAAGTGATTGCTGTCAATCAGGCTTAGGGACAGAGATGGTTGGCCAGAATGGGCATGGCCACTGCAAGTCTCTGAAGATTTGGGATACTTAGTTCTCTTGTTAACGTTAAAAACATACAAACCTGTAAAGAATTTTTATGAGTTTATTTGAGCCAAACTGTCAACAATTGCCAGGAAACAGAATCTCAACATATTGAAATAGTGCTCTGGACTGGTGGTTTTTTTAATCTTGTTTTATATATTACAAACAAAGGAGGAGACATAAATGGGTTACATGAAATCTACTGATGATAGATTAGAGAGGTGGGAGAAAGTAAAAAGGGGGAGACCTCTGGGATTGGATAAAAGGTAAAATAATAGACACATACTTCTTTTAGGTTGGTACAGGACAGTTAAGAGACAACAATTGACATGATAATAATAACAATAAAAGAATTTGTGGTCTCTGTCCTGGCACCTGGCATTTGGTTGTGCCCTGAGGATTTAGGAAAAAGGGAAGTTCAAGTTACCCTGACATTCAACAGGTATGTTATCCTAGATGCCACAAGACAATAGGCTCAGGAAAGTTCCAAGTTGATCTTTATCAGGGAAGATACTGGCCTAGGACATGATTATCCACTGTAAACTGCTTTTTAATGAAAGGTTTTAATTTCAGACTATCCTTTACTTTAGGTCTCTGAGTTTTCGAGGCTGCCACACAGGCCTTCCCTTCGTTAGTCAGATTAGCATGTGGCCCTTTTTCCTCCACACCCTGAACAAAGAAGTTTGCTCTCTTGTGCTCTTAGTTCCTCTTGGCACACTTGGCTCATGGCTAATACTTGGCTTCCTGGCATTCTTCTGTGTGGCCCACGGCCATGCAGACCTCCTGCCCTCCCCCACCCAACTCCACCCCCCAACATGCACACAATGGACTAATGGACTGCAACTAGCCTGACGCTGTACTGGACTGTCTCCAACATGGAAAGGAAACTCTGGACACTGGCTCTGCTTCTAGCTCTACTGAAACCCCAGCTATACTTCTTCTATGATTGGACTAAAGAAAATGGGATTTTGGAAACTCAGGGATTTAATTCCATGCAAATAAAAATCACTCATTCTTCTGTGTGAATCTCAGAAAATTCCTTTTCTCGGAATATTTCACAGTAGCACTCAGTGGGGAAGAGGACGCCCCACTTCTTCTGATATCAAAGGTAGGATGGGTGAGGCAAATAGGTGGGTTGGGATTGTAGATAGCCTGGCAATTGAAAGAGGGGGTCCTAGAAAAAGAGGTAAATTTCTAAACCTCTTTGTTCCTGGTCAACCCCCATTAATCTGAGCAGGTTCTGGAATCACTACATGGTGCATATTTTCTCACCTCTTCCCTGATAAAGGGGCTGCTCCAGACTCAAGCAGAATTCCTCCAGTTAATCAGCGTATCTATAGCAGGAGCTATTAGCCTGAAGGCCACCAGAAAGAGGAAGCATTTCACTGTTACATCCCTTAGTGCTACTTTTAGGAAAACAGCAGGTTCCTCTCATCATCACCAACAATTTCTTCATCACTAAAATTTTGATTTCTGAGAGAAATTTACTTTCCTACATGTTCTTCCATCCTTTTCTCTTAAGTCTATATCATCATCACAATATCCTGTTTCTCTGTCTTTTCCCCTATTTTGAGCATTGTGTTAACTATTTATTCCCAAAGAAGAGTACCCTTGGAAGAGCTAGACAGCCTCCAGCCAAAGTGTTCCTAAAATCCACAGACCACCACTGGCTCACAATGGGGATGTAGGTGATGTGTAGACATTCATACTGCTCAACAGGTTTTCAAAAACACATCTAGATCAAGAAGAAGCAGTTACAAACTCTATAGCCTCTTGACAGAATCTATATATATAAAAAGCTAATATGCTAAGTGTCCATCCTAGTGGTAGCTATGACGTGCATTGACCACCAGGGGGCAGATGCTCAATGCAGGAGCTGCCGAGCTGCAGTGACTTGGCAGCAGTGGTTCTTGGGTGACACACCCTGAAACCAGAGAGAAGAGAGCCTGATTCCTTGCAGGGCTGTATGATCCCACCTTCGGCTGTGGGTTATGTTGTTGCTGGGCACATTCAGCCCCGAATCTGCACACTTGTATTTACGTTCCACACCCTGTACAACAGCAACTTTGCAGAGTGCCCTCTCGCACCCCAGGACCCCTCAGGGGATGTCAGAGAGCCAGTTTCAGCCCGATCCCCACAGGCCAGGCCAAGGGACTCCACCTGCTGGAGGGACCCTGCTCACTCCACAGACACCCTTCGAGCCATGTCACCATACCAGGTGTGGTTGGCTGGGGAGGGACTGCAGGAGGTTGGCTCCAGGTCGTGTCCGGCCCATCTCACTCAGTCCTGCCCCTCTGGCCACCTTCTAATTAATTTCCTTTCAATGTGCACAAATCTGTGCACTGCATCATTAGTAATGTAATAAAAAACTAGGGCTTGTATTTTGCCTGTCTCTTTATTCCATTTTTAGTCCTTTTGTTTTTATTATATTTTTAAAACTATATTGACAGGTGAATGATTAGAATTAAAGCACTAAACCTGGTCCTTCACTTCTGATCATTTGAGAAGTACCAATCTAGATGACCTAAGACCCTTATCAGGTTTTGTGCCTGACTATTTGTAGCTGCTGACTTGGCATTCCTGTGAGAACTGATCCTCCATGTGATGTCCAGGTCTCCCTAAACAGGTAGGAAAACACCCCTACCTGAGCTCACTCACCAGAGGTTGTCTCCCACTCCCAAAGCACCTTTTCTTAGGGTTAGAGCTAACACAATGTATCTCTTTGGGGTCCCTGTCTTGCAAATGTCAGCGAGGCGTGAATGTAATAGGAAAAGCTTCCCTGTTGGAGCCCAACATCTCGTGTGAAGAATACAGCAGGCTCTACATACACCATAGAAATTATTTCCTGCTTCTAATATAGAAGCTGACATGCAGAACTGGACTTTTCCTCCTCTCATGCCAAGATCATCTGCGGATGTCAAACTTTCCTGTTGTGAATGGGTACAAGCTGTGATGTTGCCTTTCAAGGACTTCCAGTGGCCAGAAGAGGAAAATCCTGGACCAAGTCCCCTCAGAGAGGAAGTGCCTATTCACACAGCGGTAGGTCTTGAGCATGGTAGCTGCCTCCTTCCTCCCAGGAACAGCCTGGTCTCTTGCTTACTATGTGAGTTAGGATGTATGAATTAGCATGACAGGAAGGGGCTTGGCAGAAGCAGCATTTGGCATATTCACACTTATCCCATGAGCACTTGCGGAAAGAATTAGCTATGTGCATTTTCCTGGAAGACAGCATTTCCCTGGTTCATTGGTTGTAGCTTTAATTTACAACAAATGCCTTGAAAATGGGATATGTGTGACATTGTAAGCCTTCTATAAATTCTAATAACAAATGACCCAAGGCTCATTCTCAATTTTTTTCCATTGCTTCAGAAATTGGAATGGAAGACGTAATACACAGAACCATACAGCTGGAAGGGCCCTTACAGATCAGCCAGCAAACCCCGCTCCCATTTTATAAATGCTAAAACTGAAGTCCAGAGAAGGCATGTGATTGCCAAAGATGAGATTCAAAAAACACAGATTGGATTTTAGGGTTTTATGTTTTAATTTTTTTTAAACTATCGAAGGAAGTAGAATATACGTACAAAGAAGTTAAAAATCATAACTGTAAAACTCAACAAATTTTTATAAACTAACCATTCGCCATAACTGGCACACAGAGCAAGCTGAACATCTCTAGCACTCCTCAAAGTCTCCACAATGCACCCTGTGTATTCCTCCCGGCCAGGAGTAGTGGGCATCCTGCCTTCTAGTGTTGTATGTTCTCTGTGCCTGTCATTGAATGTCATAGAAATGGAATTATGCAGGAGGTGATTCTTGTACCAGGCTTCCTTCATTCAACACTATATTGGAGAGCTTCATCAACATTGTTGCATATGGTTTTAATACATTGATTTTCATTGGCATACAGTATTCTTTTGTGTGAGTATAGTACATTTAGGTGGTTTCCATTTGGGGGCTGCTCTTGATCGTGATGCTAAGACCATTCCCGTATATGTCTTTTGGTGAATATGCATATAATTGATGGGGATTTACTCATATTTTGTGCCTAATGATGCTCCCAAGGAATATTAATGGAAGGAATGAACAACCTCTGTGCAAGTCTGTGCTATGCGAGGCTGTCACTGCACCCCTGTCTGTGCCAACCATCCAAAGGGAACCCTTTAGGGATTACAGTAGCCATAGCAGTGATTTATGGCTGGGACTGCTCGCAAGGACTGCCAGAAGCCAAAGTAAATAGTCACTTGCTGCTTTATTAATATAAAAATGTGTATTTAATTTGCTTTTATTTTTACTTATTTTTACTTACACAAATTACATATGAGTGCATTCTTATTCTATAAACATACATAACAAAACAATCATGGTTGCAAGGACATATGTCTGCTTTCTTGATTACAAAGCAGCATCAGTGCCTGGCACAGAATGTTCTAGACAGTACTTGCTGAGTGAATGAATGTTGGGTGGTACACATGACCACTGTGTCATCCCTGGAGTTCCCCAGAGCTAATCTCACCTATGAGTTTGTGTTTTTCCATTTATTTCTATACATGTGTGTATGCCTGGGGGTGTGTTAATAGCATTGGATGACACCATGTTGTGTGGGTTTTTAACTGAAGAATTTTTATTATCAGGACATAGAGATCTACCTTTTTATGAGCTGCCGGTGTAACATTGCGTGGTATCTCTAGTTTTTTTTGACAGCACAAATGATGGTGCAATGCACATTCTTATGAATATGTATAAATGTTTCTTAATGGTAGATACCAAAAAAGAATTGCTGGCTCACAGGGGGTGTACATTTTTAATACTTCCAAAATGACTGTTCCAATGCATATTTTCATCAGCAGAAAGTACCCGTTTCTCCTTATTGTTGCTATGATTGATATTATCCAAGTTAGAAATTTTCGACAAATTAATATGTGAAAAATGTCATTTAATTTGCATTTCCATCCCTATTCCTGGAGTTGGGCATCTTTTCATATATCTGTTGATTAGGTTTGGGTTTGAGTCAAGCCTGCTGCAAAGAGCATGTGTATAGTCATAAATCACTTAGTGGGTGGCTGAGGCCTGCCAACCCCCATCAGGGCTTCTTCTTACTGCTGTGTTGCTTTTTATGCTGATCTTCAAAGCTGTCCGAATCCTAGACAATCCCTGGTGTATCTTCACCCAAATGCTAAGAGTGCAAAAAAAGTGATTTAAATAAGTCTTCAGCACCCCATGGGATGAGGAGGAATGTTGGCCAGTCCAGTGTACTGGTATGAGGTACAAAAACTTGGAGACTTGATTTTCCAGTTAATTATCTTAGTGCTTTCTCTTTATATGAGAGCTAGGAGGGGAAAAAAATCAAGTTTTTCTATGAGGCTTATATATCTTTGACACCAAAATGGAGTCTGAGTTCTGAAAAGTGCTGTACAGGGTGTGATATTTCAACTACACCTGCAGTGAGCTTATTTATATTCCTGCATGTGGGCTCATTACCCAGTCAGTTCCTGACAAGCATTAAGAGCAGATGTTCTGGAGGCAAATAGTCCAAATGCTGGTCTTTGCTGGCCAAAAGCTGGTGCAGCCCTGGCCGAGTGCCTCATTTGCTTGGAGCATTGTCCCATTCACCAAAAGGTTGTGGGTTCAATTCCTGGTCAGGGTGCCCATGGGAGGCAACCAATCGATGGTTCTCTCTCACATAAATGTTTCTCTCTTTCTCTCTCCCTCCCTCTCTCTCTAAAATCAATAAAACATATCCTCAGGTGAGGATTATTACTTTTTAAGCTGGTGCATGTTTCTGAAGCTCTGTTTCTCTGCTTTATTTTCAACTATGAAATAGAGAAAATAATAAAATCCATTTTGTGTAATTATCAAGAGGATTCATTGATCAGTAAATGTAAGGTACCTAGCACAGAGCCTGGCATATAGTAAGTATTCATTAAAGGCTCTTGCTGTTATTATCATCAATAGGGTTAGTTTTGACTGGTTCATACATAGAGCAAGGTTTAAATTAGAACTTAGAACATGTCCCAGTTCTTTTCTGCTCTTATGCTGGGGAAGATCACTCTAGTCTGCCCCGCAACCCATTTACTGCTAACCCTCACATAGGGTAGAAGTCACATGGGCCTCTGATGTTGACTCTATACCCAGCTCCTAGCAAGATTTAGTCCAGCACTTGCAAATGAGGGGCATTTCACAAATGGACCCACCAGACCACTAAATTCCAAGTGAATTCTTACCCAAAGCATAAATTGATTCAAGTTTGCTCAGACCTTGGCCTCACAAGCCCTTGGCTGACATTTCTGTTTGAAACCTGACACCTTGCCAGAAAGTTTCTTCAGTTTGAGTTAAATGAAAAGAAGGACTTAATTCCAATAACAGATGGGCCCAGCAGGGCCAGCAGTTGATTGGGATAATTTTTGTCCTACAAGAACTCGGCCTTCCGGGCTGTGACTCAAGACCGCTTTTCGTAGGCCTTGCATTCAGGAGAGAATAACTAGAGGCTCACAGGAGATTTGGGTGAAGTGAAATCGCATCCCAGACGCTTTTTTCTCAGCTTCCTCAAAGTCCCCATTCTTTGAGGTCCAGCCACTCTTGGTTTTGGTGATGAGACTGATTGAATGTCAAGGCATATGATGGAGTACCATTTGAGAAACGCTGGAAAGATGCACTTTTCACACTTACTCCAGACCGGGCCTTCCATGTGGAACTCCTTCCATGTGAATTCTAATGAGGTAAGAATCTTCTTTGATTAGAATCTTCTTTCAAAACGCAGTGTTCCTAGGGAAAAAGACATTAGGCTATTGTTACTCCATCAATCCTTCATTTCCACATATTTGCCAGTGCTTACCAGGTGCCTGGGACTGTGCTGTGAACCAAGGGGATAGTGGTTAGCAAGGCAAACATTGTCCTCCTGGTCCTTATGCTGTACATAGCTCAGTCAAGGGGAGACAGATATTGGACAGACAAATACATCACAGTGTGACGAATGCAAAGGACTCACCAGGAAGAGCCTTGGGGGATGAGGGCTTGGCCTTGACTCTGCATGACCTGGATTATCTCTCCCTCTGTGTGGGCCCACAGGGTCATGGGAGGCCTTCCTAGATGCTGCTCTGAGTGAGAATTTTACCTCCTGTGAGGTACCAGGGCATGTAGCCAGCTCAGAGCCCCAGAGTACCTCACTAAGGTCTCATTACAATGTCTCTCTTGGAGTCTCTGACACAGGATCACACTGTAGATGAGACTGAGATCATCTACATGTGTATGTGGTGAAACAGCTGCGATCGATAGTACAGGAACTGTCATCAAGGAAGACCATCCCCATCCCCCACCAGATTTATGGCTTAAAACCCACAGAGATCAGCTCCATCCAACATGGTAACTAATTCCATAATTTCACTTTATGGTAACCCCAGGCTCATTATGTGCTCACTATAATACATAAGTATGCTAAACAGCTCACCCCACACCCCACAAACAGAAAGCCCACATAAGGACACAAAATAGCCAGTGGAGCTCTTCCCAGAAATCTCTACCGTTTACCAGAAAAATCCTGAGCACTGCCCCCCCCCCCTTATCAAATGCCTACCCCTGATTAAGTTAACCTTAATAAAGGAAGGAAATGTCACTAAAGAGGGGCTGCTTGATCTGTGGTGTAACTCACTCTGTCCCACTTCTTCACCAATAACTCACTCTCATTTTAGACTCTGTGTTGTCTCGTCTTTGAATTCTTTCCCGTGTGAAGCCAAGAACCCACACTAGGTCCCCAGATATCCAGAATGCCTGCATCAAGCCACCTTACAATGAAGCTTTTCTGCACATTTCACCCTGAAATAACCTAAGTTGAGACAAAGAGAGAGAAAGAGGGAGGAAGGAAGGGAGAGAGACAGAAAGGACCCTGAATAAACAGAGACAGGTAGATTGTGATCATACTGTTAGTGTTCTGAATGCATCTGGTACTAAACATCCATACCATGTCAAGATGGAAATATAACAGTTCAGCTCAGGGCACCTGGGCTTGAGTTACACTCTTGTCATTCATCATCTCTGACCTTGGGAAGCCATTGAACTTCTATTGCCTCAGTTTTCTCATTTGGAAAAAAAGGATTTAAATCACCACAGTCCATTAACTGGATTGTTTTGTCACTTGAATGAGATTAAACAAGTCAGTGATTTCAGAACATAAAAATGTTAATGAATACTAGTTGCCATTGTTATATCTAAATATTCAATATGCGTATGTACCGTGGGTACAAAGCACAGGATCTATGCTTTGGGATTGGCTTGGGATCAAAGGGTAGACTGAGGCTGTGAAACTCTGGGCTGACCAGAAAAAAAGATCCTTCCTCCTCTTCCTTATTATCTCCAAAGTGTATTTCCATGATGCTCCTAACTTTTCAAATACTCACACATCAGTCATTTTACATTCACACCTCAGTCTCAAGAGACCCACTTTTTTCGCTCACAGACGTCCAAGTGGATGTCATTTGACAAGACTGCATTGTTACCCTTATGAGACAAATACATTACAGGCTGGAGAGATTTGTATTGTGCAAGTAATGTCCTCTTAGACCATTGAGATCCTAATCTCTATTGGAAAGAGAAACTACAGTGTGAGATTAGGTAAGACTTGGGGGAGATCATTCATGAAAGCCATGCTTGCCAAGTCAAGAACAAGACTGTCAAGTCTATGACTGGTTCCTTCAAAAGCACCCTAGAAAGATGCTTAGCCTCTTACCTCTAGTGGTTGGGGTGCCACTGTTCCTATGTGAAAAAGCAGCCCCTTGGGAAGCTTCCAGAAACCACGTGTGTTCTGACATTTGCCAGTGGTCTATCTCTTCAGGAATTGCTTCTCCACATCTGTTTGCTCTAACTGTTAAAGAAGTAGATTTCAAAACCATGTGGGGAAACAGGAGGACATACAAGGCAGATGCTACATGGAGGGAACAACATAGGCCAATTGTGGCACCTCCAGTTGCGAACACCCAGCCCCAGCACGAAAGCAGCCTTGCCCCTGAGGGAGTGACCAGGGGGCGCTCAATGCCATGCCTCCCTGTCCAAGCCCCCAAGTTCCCCACTTCTCGTCAGCATGGTGGTGGTCAAAGAGCAGGGGATTTGGAGTTGAAGGAGTCAAGCTGAAATCCCAGCCCCATCATTTATTAACTGAATTATTTTGAGCAATATTCTCATCCTTTCTGAACCTCAGTTTCCTCATCTGAAAGACAAAGTTGCTCTTGTGATAGAATCATTAAGAAAATTCAGTGGGAAATTGTGGATATAGTGCTTAGCGCAGCACCTGACCCATAGCAGGTACTTACTTGGTAGTGGTTGTACTCACTTATTCATCCATTCCTGTTAGGGAAGCAGAATGAACATAGTATAATTTAGACCTTCTTAAAGTCTTTCCTTCTTTCCCCATGTGACTTAATCACTAAGGCCTTTCTGAGCACCTACGTAAAACTGCAAACCTGCATCACAGACTCTTCCCCTTGCCCTTACATAGTTCCAGCCCATCCCCCATCCTTTTGGCATTGCCCTGTTTTTCTCACTATCACTTCCTAGCGGATCACATGATTTACTTAGTGTTTAGATGTGTTGTTTGTTATGGTTTGTCTCCTCCTGACAGAACCTAAGTTTACAAAGCATGGACTTTTATAATATATTCTTTGCCACTAGAAAACAAACGTGGCACATAATAGTGCTCAATACATATTTTTTTAATGAATTAAGGCCCTGGAATCATCTGGTTGGGCTGCTGCCAGTGCTGGTCTTTTCTTGTACTGGTGTTTGTGACCTTTAGCAAATTAATCCCAGCCTCAGTTTTCTCCTCCGTAAGATACTGACAATGCTGATTACAAACCCTCAGAGTAAAAGGAATTAAATGAAATTATGTCTGTAAAGCACATGGTGTGGCATCCCAGGCACAGTAACTTCTAACTAAACGAAAGCTATTAGAGTGAAAATTTGAGAAGCTCTTGATTTCTATGCTAATGTAGAGAGAGAGAGAAGGCATCACCCAGAATCATTTCCAGAAACATCTATCCCTAGACTCATTCTCAATTCCCTTCCCCAAGGATGTGAATTTCACCTCCACTCTGAGTCCCACCAGTTGCCAACTTTCCCCAGATCACAGCATGGTGGCCAATGGGGACATCCGGATATCATCACCAGTATTTGGCCCCATCACGTGTATGTTTGACTGGTGCTGGGATCAAGACAGTGTTGCCTACACAAACCTGTCATTAGCTACTGTGGGAGCCAAAGCTATAGTTACTACCCTCAAAGAGTTTATGATCTAAAACATTCTCAAGAGAGAACCAAGGAACACCATGTGAATAGTCATTATAGTCTGCAAATGTGTGTGTATGTGTGTGTGCACATCGATTGCATCAGTGGAGGCTGGGAGTGTGCAAGAACCAGTTGGGTTTCTAGCACATTTTAGTGGGCAAAGGTAGCCTGCCACTTTTTCCTAGCTTCCCTCCACCCAATATGAAACCTTACAAACTGAAAGTAACTATATAGGATGGTCTGAACATAATTCCTAATTAAAAGCAGGTCATAACAAGTAGTTAAGTAAGTCCTAGGCCTGTAGCTTCCTTGACAACGGTCACTCTTTACCTTAAGTGAGCCTGTCTGTTGTCTTTCTGCATCTAAGGCAACAGACCTTCGGAATGTCAGGATAATTTCTATTTTCCGGACTCCTCAGGGCACAACCACAGCACCAGAGCAGAGACCACAGAACCCTCATTATTACCTTGTTCCCCGAACACCATCTCTGTGTGCTGAAATGTGAATTATTAACTCTTGTACCCACCAGTGTAAAAGAATTAGTGTCTTTCCATTTTACTTTTATCCAATTCCAGAGACTTCCCTGCTCTGCCTTATCTTGCCCCCTTAATTTACCACCAATGGGGTCTATGTAACCCTCCTTATGGCTCCTCCTTTGATCCTAATCCTATATAATAAAAGCCTAATATGCTAAGTGTCTGGTCATCTAGTCCTCCATTCAACCAATCAAAGTGTAATATGCTAAGGCAACTCAATCACTTGCTATGATGTGCACTGACTACAAGGGGGCAGACGCCCCAACTGGTAGGTTAGCTTGTTGCTGGGGTCTGGCCAATCGGGACTGAGTGAGATGGGCTGGACATGTACTGGAGCCCTCCTATGGTCCGTCCCCGGCTGGCCAACCTCCTGCGTCCCTTCCAGGCCCCGATCGTGCACTGGTGGGGTCCCTCAGCCTGGCCTCCGCCGTCTCACAATCCAGGACCCCTTGGGGGATGTTGGAGAGCAGGTATCAGCCCGATCCCACAGGCCAGGCCGAGGGACCCCACTGGTGCACGAATTCATGCACTGGGACTCTAGTGTATAAAATAGGCTGCCAAACTGTCATTGTCAGGAACATTTTCTCAATCCATTGAGATTTTTGCTTCCTGACAACTGTCAGTTCGGCTCAAATAAGCTCATAAAAACTTCTTTACAGGTTTGCATGTGTCTTATGTCAACATTTATAACAGACAGAGTTTGATGCATGTTTATTACATGCCAGGTGCTTCATAACTATCAGTCATTGGTCGCACAGCCGCTTGTTTGTTCTGCAAAGTCTATTGAGTGCAAGGCGCACGCGGGCACTGTGGCTGCAGCAACAAACAGGGTAGATCAGTCCTTTTTCATCGAACTTAAATGCTGGTGGCAGACACCAGAGTGAGGAATCATTCTACATATCATTAATCATTATCAATTATGTATTCATTCACTCAAAACCCACCTATTAAACCTACTATGGGATGGTTGGTGTTATAAAGGAGAAGTTCGTGGTGCTCTGGGGTCAGTGTGTCTGAGGGGCACGTGGGGAAGCTCAGCCTGTGCTGGGGTCCAACCCCAGCAGGTCCAGGGGTTCCCAAAGGCGTAGACGGAGTCGACGAAGAAGGAAGGACACGGAGACAGTGTTCAGTTGATCAGCAGCCTATCCAGGATCTCTAGCCAGGATCTCCAGCCAAGTTCTGGTCTGGATCTCCAGCGAAGTTCTGGTTTGGATCTCCAGCCAGGTTCTGTGTCCATGTTCTCTTGCTAGGTTCTCCAGGTTCTCCAGCCAGGTTCTGTAGCCATGTTCCCTCACTAGGTTCTTCAGCCAGGTTCTGTCCAGGTTCTCCAGCCAGGTTCAGTCACCAGGTTCTAGTCAGGTTCTCTTGCCAATTTCTGTAGTCAGGTTCAGTCCAGGATCTTTTGCCATGTTCTCTCCAGCGAAGTTCTTCTGTCTGTAGGTTCTGTGTAGGTTCTGTCTTCTAAGTTCTGTGTGTAGGTTCTGTCTTCTAAGTTCTGTCTTCTAAGTTCTGTCTTCTAAGTTCTGTGTTCTAAGTTCTGTGTGTTGCTGTCTTGATACATCTGTATTTATACCAGTTGATTCAATCCTATCAATCTCTATTACAAAGGTTAGGGAGTTTCTTATCTCCATTCCAGGGAGTAAAGATTATGTAGCTTAAGCATGATTGTTCGTAGTTAAAGTGATTAATTACCCGCCTGGCACTTAGTTGAGGGGTTTTATTCCCTCCCTAACTTCAGGGGAAAATCCCTACCTGGGGAAACAACCTTTCTCAGAGACCTTGGTTAAAACACATAGTGCCAAGAAGGTGAGCAAACATATTAAAAACAGTATGCCATATATGCCAGGTCCCTTGAAACAGCAAGCATGGACCGGCTCCCGGCAAGCCTGGACTCCAACGGAGAAGTGAAGCTCAGCCTGGACTCCCACGGAGAAGTGACTTGAAGGGCGGCACACCTGAAGGAGGGAGAGCTCGAAGCTGGGTCCTTTTTGTGGAGGAAGTATCTGAGGCTCAGCGAGGTCACAGTGCTTGACCAAGCAGCCACAGTGCTTACCTGATGGACCCCAGATTTGAACCCCAGCTTTCCTAGTTCCCATGTGGGCGGCCTTTCCACCAGGCTAGTGGTGTTCTTAGACTGGGATGCATGTCAAACGGCCCGGGCTTTTTCAACATCTGTGTGCGGGGCTCCACTAAAGATCCCCTCCGTGGTCCCGGCGGAGCCAGGGGGGGGGGGCGGTGAGAGCGAGTGCAGCAAGCCCCCGGGGCATGCGGGGTGCACAGCTCCGCTATGGCCTCTGCCTCCAGGCTCTGGCTCTGCCTCAGGGAAACCTGCCTCGGAGCCCCCAGGTAGCACTGGTGCCCTGCGGAGCCAGGGGTCTCCTCCCTGTCCTGCCTGGCCTGGGGCTGGGGCTGTCAGCACTCCAGCCTCCCCGTCCTGCCTGGCCTGGGGCTGGGGCTGTCAGCACTCCAGCCTCGCTGACATCACCGGGAGAGCTTCACAGTCTTCCCAGGCTGCCTCCACACAACAGCACCGGAATCACTGCGGAAAGGCCCCAGACAGGCATTTACTAGAAGCTTCCATGTGATTTAGCATAGATAATCTCCAAGGTCCCTTCTGACTTAGAATCGTCCACCTCCGTGAAGTCCTTCATCCCCTCTTTCCGAGGATTGAGGGTGCGGAAGGCGGCCTGGGGGCTGGGGGGTTTGGGGTTGGGGTGGGGGGTTGGCGTGGAGCAGGGATGATGCATTGCCAAGACCTGCTGCTCCGCTCCGGCGGCGTCTCTGTGAACATAGTAACTTCTCTTCTGACTGATTTATGTGGCGTTTGGAAAGCAGCCCCCAGAACTGGCTGTTCTCCCCTCAGCGCTAGTAACATAAATATGCGCAAGGCCTTGGGCTCCTGCTCCTCTGTGTAAATGAGGCTTAAGGGGCCCTGAGCGCCCAGCCGAGGAGAAGCCAGAGGAGAGGAAGTGTCCTCAGAGGCACAGAATGAAAGGGGAAAGGACACGTTGCTAAGCGACAGTGTCAAGCTGGGCCAGGGATTAGCCGCCGGTATCAAAGCCAGAGCGTCCACTGCCTGTCCCTCCAGCAGGGCCTTTCCCGGCAGAGAGAGATCATTAAAGCAGCTCCTCCCAATCGGGAGCACCAGGCCCCTTCCTTCTGGGCAGGACGAAAATATTGGGCGGGAATTAAGTGATTTAAACAAACATGTCTTCTAGCGGGGGCGGGGGGGGGGGGCGGGTAGTGGTGGTGGGGGCGTTGTCAGTGAGACTAGATTCCCTGCTGTGGGGCTTCTCAGAGTCCAAGAGCGGGTAAACTTTGAGACTCCGGAGAGGTAGGCTGGTGGCAGTGCCTCCGAAATCGTTTACAACGTTTCCTTTTGAGGGAGGAGTGCTTTCCAAGAGGGTCTGAGAAACTGGTATACGGAACAGCTTACCTGGTGTTCTGTGCCAGGAGTTTTACATGGATTCTTTCTTTTCATCGAAGCGACCCTGCTCAGTTGGGTACTTTTTTGTTCCCTTCTTTGTG